CTGCTTACATTGGGATATAACTACAGTACAGAAAAATATTGATAATTTTTTATTTGTTTGGAATTTGATCATTGAATTGCATGAATTGAGCGAGAGAGAACAATACGAGCCAGAGCCAATTTTTTTTGTCATAATATGAGCAAAAACTACTTCTTCACCTCTGGATATAAGTTACAAAACAGAGTGAGAAAGATTTGCAGTTAGACAGGAAAATATGGGAGGAAATATAATAAAGAGCTAGGAAAAAAGAGCGCACAATGTTTTTTGGGGAGTTTTTATTGACTGGTCTGTTATTTTGATACCAAATGCACTTTTCTTATGATCAGAGTTTAAAAGTAGAGATGTTACATGCTACATGTTGTTAAAAGAATTTAAATTATTCAAACCATTAAAGTTGTTCATTTTTATGGTCATTTTTATCATAATTTTGCTGTTGCTCATGTATAATGCATTAATAAATGTAAATGTTTATACAATACTGTTATAATTGACCACTATTTTACACAATGTGGGGGGTTACCAGTTGGGCTTATTTTGGGCTTGTTTTCATGAGGTGGTTGCTTGTTTCTGTTGCGAGATCTGGCAACACTGGAAGCAAGCTTACACAAGTCTTTTTTAATTTGAATAATCCTGAAGAAAAAGTACTTTAACTGAAAATGATGGACGGATTTTCTCACGTGTTGTGTGTTTGAGAGTATTTTATTTATGTACAGTAAAAATGCATGTAAAATTGATAAGGAGTATTTACTGTTCAAGCTTTTACAAGTGTTTGAACACGTGACTGATTAAATTTATACACCTTACAAAAACTGGGGATTTTTGTGCAAGGATGTTGAACAAATATTTGGCCCCTCTATGAATACTGTGGCCCCTTGGTGGGCCCGTACGCTGAAAAATCCTAGATCCGCCACTGATATAATTTCAACCCCAACTTGGATTAGTCAGTGGCAAACAAGGGCTTATTGTGGAAATGCATTTAACAAATGTATTTAGTATTCTTCAGCTCCCAATAGGAGACTAAAGTTTGAAGGATGTGTTTGATTTGCAATGTAAGAGATTATATGAGCACAGGTGACCAAGTGATGACAGCAGGCCTGAAACTGGCACACAGTATGTGTTCTGGAGAATCGAGCTTTTAGCTAATTTTGTGACACAAGCCGAGAAAAACAAACACAGACGTTCTGCAGCAGTAAAAGAAATACATTCACAGATGGCACACTATAGTCAGTGTCTGAAAGAATGGAGGAGCGAGATCTCATTTGAATCCTCGTGTTTTCTGAAAGGGAACCATAACTGATTTTCCACAGCTTTTAATGCCAAAACCAATCAGAGAACTCATAATACCAGTCCTGCCCAAATCCCATTACCCTGAAATGCTATAAGCCAATCATCATGCTCACTCCCTTCACAGGATGCCATCACTTTGCACAGGTTGATTGTCAGCAAAACCTACTGGTGCAGGTCATGTGGAAGCAGCACAAAGTAGGAGGCAGCTAAATGAATTGTCACTAGCACGCTGCTGTGCCATACTGTACTGAATATTCACTGGCTGTCCTCCAGGTCTGTAATAACACGGATGAATGGAATCAATCTCACCGTTCAGTGAAGTTGTAATGGGACATTCAGATATTCATGCTCAAGAGTCTAAGGTGGGATTTTAGGAGTTAAAATGCAGCCCCATGCAGTGGAGGCTATGGATTTCAGTGATCATGTCTTATCTCATCATCCAAGACTGAAGTGGGTTGTCTTTTTCTGAAATCCATATTCTGTACTTATATATATACTGTATATACTG